GACTGGTGGAGTTATGTCGCACATGCAGCTAACAAAAACATATGGAAATGTCTGCTCTACCCAAAATTACAACCAAATAATTGCAGCCTTACCGCAAAAGTGGAAGAGGAAAGTGGAAGGGGGAGAAAGTAAGGAACTTGTCTGTCGGCCTTGCACTAAATAACATAATTGGTTAAGGAAAACTGTGATAAATAAAAAAGTAGGGGATGGGGACTGAGGGAGTGGGGGGAATGGGTTGGGGAGGGGAAGCCTTTTTTGTTTATTTTCCTTACATACAGAATATTACAAAACTGTTGATGATGTTCTCTGTCTTTGTATACATTTATCTTGTTCTTCTTCTTGTTCTTCTGTTGAGTGGCTGCCCACAGGTACAGGATAGTATGAAATATGAAATGCAAATACTATAACTGAATGTATGAATATATCTGAATTAATATGATTTTGAATGTTATACCAGTACCTGTAACTCCCTTCTGAAAAAATGACAAACTCATTAAAAAGTTGGTCAAACAAAAAAAGGGATAAAACCATGCTGATGGAGAACGAAGACAGAAAGAAGAAGTACAACCTAGAAAGAAGTAGAAGAGTGCGTCATTACTCACTGTTTTGCCTGTGCTGTCAATTTGTCTTGTAAAGCTGGGCATGCTCTGTTGCATCTGATGATCTCTATGTAAATACAGAGCCCTGACAAGACAAATGGAAAATAAAGAAACCAAGAACAAAAACACGTTTCTCAACTCCCCGTGTTCTTGTGAATAAGTTTTGAGAAGGTGAATCGCAGCTGTTTTTGTGCAAACCTGGTTTTATTTATAAACACATTCTCAACCATCTCTCAACCATTATCTACAGTACTCTCTCAACATGCTTTCAGGGGGTTAGGGTGGTTAATTTGAGTGATGAGTGAGGCCAAAGCAAATATACTATGTAAAGCCCACTTACAGTGGGGGAAAAAAGTATTTAGTCAGCCACCAATTGTGCAAGTTCTCCCACTTAAAAAGATGAGGCCTGTAATTTTCATCATAGGTACACGTCAACTATGACAGACAAAATGAGGGAAAAAAATCCAGAAAATCACATTGTAGGATTTTTAATGATTTTATTTGCAAATTATGGTGGAAAATAAGTATTTGGTCAATAACAAAAGTTTCTCAATACTTTGTTATATACCCTTTGTTGGCAATGACACAGGTCAAACGTTTTCTGTAAGTCTTCACAAGGTTTTCACACACTGTTGCTGGTATTTTGGCCCATTCCTCCATGCAGATCTCCTCTAGAGCAGTGATGTTTTGGGGCTGTCGCTGGGCAACACGGACTTTCAAAAAGTTCTATTTTGGTTTCATCTGACCATATGACATTCTCCCAATCCTCTTCTGGATCATCCAAATGCACTCTAGCAAACTTCAGACGGGCCTGGACATGTACTGGCTTAAGCAGGGGGACACGTCTGGCACTGCAGGATTTGAGTCCCTGGCGGCGTAGTGTGTTACTGATGGTAGGCTTTGTTACTTTGGTCCCAGCTCTCTGCAGGTCATTCACTAGGTCCCCCCGTGTGGTTCTGGGATTTTTGCTCACCGTTCTTGTGATCATTTTGACCCCACGGGGTGAGATCTTGCGTGGAGCCCCAGATCGAGGGAGATTATCAGTGGTCTTGTATGTCTTCCATTTCCTAATAATTGCTCCCACAGTTGATTTCTTCAAACCAAGCTGCTTACCTATTGCAGATTCAGTCTTCCCAGCCTTGGAGTGTGACTGTTTGAGGTTGTGGACAGGTGTCTTTTATACTGATAACAAGTTCAAACAGGTGCCATTAATACAGGTAACGAGTGGAGGACAGAGGAGCCTCAAAGAAGAAGTTACAGGTCTGTGAGAGCCAGAAATCTTGCTTGTTTGTAGGTGACCAAATACTTATTTTCCACCATAATTTGCAAATAAATTCATTACAAATCCTACAATGTGATTTTCTGGATTTTTTTTCCTCATTTTGTCTGTCATAGTTGACGTGTACCTATGATGAAAATTACAGGCCTCTCTCATCTTTTTAAGTGGGAGAACTTGCACAATTGATGGCTGAATAAATACTTTTTTTCTCCACTGTATGCGTGGTCCTCTGTAGCTCAATTGGTAGAGCATGGCACTTGTAACGCCAGGGTAGTGGGTTCGATCCCCGGGACCACCCATATGTAAAAATGTATACGCGCATGACTGTAAGTCGCTTTGGATAAAAGCGTCTGCTAAATGGCATATTATTATTATATTATATTATTATTATGTCAATTCTCTGAGTCTTCATTAGTAGACTATTCTATAATGTTTTTGTTTATTTGCTTCTTAAAATTTCTGTAAATACTATAGTATTCCCTTCCTTATTCTGAATTTCCAATAATTGCAATACAAATTGAGTTAGATGAGCATTTCCCAATCAAGGGGCCTCATATATCAAAAGTGCATGCACACAAAAATACTCTAAACCTAAGGTGCATTCAGTTCACTTGAACGTTTTCTACGTTGCGGAACGGTTTGAACTGAACGACACGTTTCCCCAAAGCATTCTTTCTGGTATGTTCTTGAACAGACTTTGAGGTAGTTTTGCTCCCATTTGGTGGGTGTGGCGAGGTGTGGCTTGAAACAATGAGTGACCTATTTAAAGGGCAGTGGCCATGCTGACAGCGTTCCCCAATCCACAACCCAACCCCTCCCCGTTTTTCAACTGGTTGTTCAGTACAGCACCGTTTCCGTTTAATTGAATGTTCCAGAACGTAAAAACGTACTGAACGCAGCCCTTGCTGCAAAGGTTGGTATTTATCAATTATGAACTTGACAGGAAACTATGATTATCTCCATAGCCCACACACTCTCAGACCATGTGTATGCACAACTTCTAGTGGTTGATCAATTATATTGCAAGCAAATATTGTTATTTTGAGGGAAATTGACGTTTTTTGATGCACATGAATTATAATAATGGTTGTCTAATAAAAACATTATAATGTAGGCCTAATGATAAAACAGATACATTTGCCGTTGGTAAGGAGATCGCAAGGCAGCATGTAGCCTTATGTGCTTATTTTACTTGTATTGTATAGGCCTAAATCATAATCATATTGCAGGATGTTTCTCCTTTTCTGACATGACTGACTTATTCCCACTACACAACAAATATTAGCCTACCATTTATCCATCACTCATTTAATAGCCAAGCTTCCTCAAAAGTAAAGACAGACAGGTAGCCTATTTCAAATATTTGACAGCATAGGCTACAGTTGGCCTATTGCAGTGCAGTTGGAGCACAACATCATAGCCTATTTAAATTCAGAGCCTATACTAAGGCAGCAGATAGACAGAACACAATCATCTATTGATAAACAAATTATTCAACCTGGACGTAACATAGTAAACAAAAATCAGGGACACTCAAATTAGTATGATATGTTACGTTTGGCATGGTATGTATTAATTTGTGGATGTCCATCATCCATTTCGTATGATACAGTATGTTACTAATTACAATTCGTATGATATGTTACGTATTACAATCCGTATGATATGTTGTGAATTGCAATTTGTTGTGGCTAACGATAGCTAGCTGGCTAGGTGGGTAATGCTAACATTAGCTAGGTGGCTAACGTTAGCTAGGCGGCTAACCTTAGCTAGGCTAGGGGATAGGGGTTTAGGTTAGGGTTAATGTTAGGGTTAAGGTTAGGAGTTAGGTTAAAGGGTTAGGGTTAGGGGAAGGGTTAGCTAACATGCTAAGTAGTTGCAAAGTAGCTAAAAAGTAGTACGTAGTTGCAAAGTTGCTAATTAACTAAAATGCTAAACTTGTCCCTGATGAGATTCAAACACGCAACCTTTGGGTTTCTAGACAATTGCGTTATATGCCCACCCACCTTTAGTTTTTGCCTTAAGTAACCTTCTGTCTTATGTAACCACACCAAACATAACATAACATACTCATTTGAGTATCCCTGATTTTTTTATGTTACGTCTAGTCTATGAGACCAGGCTGAAATATTGAACATCAATTCATATTTTCCATACAAGTGTGCTGTAGCATTTACTTTTAAATTGTTCGACAATCAAACTTGCAAAATGCACTCCAGTGTTTGGCACTTGCTATTAGCGGCATTCATTTTTTGTTTGAAAAAGTCACTGCAAAAGATAAAAACATTCTGCCCACACCTTTATATAAATGTGATCTAATTTGTCATTGCATTATCTTTTAGAAACTTTCATGGCCCAGTTTCAACATCTCCAAATCATACAGCAAATGAGGGTGTTTTTGTACCATAAATGATGAATGGAGGGCGTTTTCCAGGCAGGTTTGTAACGCTCGTCAACAAGTGCACAAATATAGTGTGGCTATAATTTATCAATGAAAATGTGTATATATTGCGCGAGACCGTTTGATAAATAAAAATAATTTGTTGGTAAATAACTGAGCCTTGGTAAATATGCAGCAAGATAGAATCATAGCAGCCTACGGTAGATCTCTAAACAGCTGTCAACCTGATTTTTTGAATCATGATTCGCCACCAATGATTTAAAGTAACTGTCCAGTGAAAATCTCACTTTTAAAAGTACATTTCTGTTAACTTGTACACAAATAATGTTGACCCGTATAATTTTTATGACCGGTATATACACCATTCCGTTGTTGGGGTACCCCACACCATTCTAACACAGAAAAGCTGATTTTTAACATACTTAATTATAATTTTTTGGAAGGAATTGTAATTAATTATAGGTCATATTTCATAGATATCTGGAAACACTGGACAGTTGCTATAATAATAGAAGATTCTTTGTTTTTTCGCGGCACGCGCCTATGGCACTAAGAACTAACTGCTGTTTGACTTTGTTTTCCGGCCGACCATTATTCTTGACGGAACGGTTGGATGAACGCAGCAAGACAAATCATGTATGCTATTTGGGATCCTTGGGACGTCGCTACCGACATAATGGAAAAGGTTTATGGTTAGGTTTAGGGTAGGGACGTCCCAAGGATTCCAGATAGCACTAACCCAAGACAAATATTTAACAAACGACTGCATGAGGAACGCTAGCTACATAGTAATATGAAATGTTATCCAATACTTACGTTTGATTACCTATAAAGCATAAAATATATTAACATCTTTTTGTTCTGCACATTTTGAAGAGGTAGGTTGGCTGGGTCAATATATTTCTGGAGTGTCTTTCTTAGCTTACTAGTAGCTAACGTTAGCCACAGACTACAATAGTAACTTAGCTCTATCAGAGAGTAAGAGGCGAAGCCTTTAATATCCTAAATCTATGGCTCTATAGCTAACTTTAGTACATAAATGACCACAAACAACTGCATTATGATGAGTCATTTCTGCATATGCTGAGACCGAAGTCAGTTAAGCATGTCCTATAGGTTGCAACCTAGCTATGAACTGAATGAAATGTCGTTATACTTCAACAGGTGATCACTTACAGGCGACTGTTTGACTAAGAACCGGGGCATACAGTCGACCATGACGTCACTGGTAAGTCTTGGGTGTATGGTTTGCTTGTGGGGTCAACATGATAAGGTGAATGCACCTATTTGTAAGTCGCTCTGGATAAGAGCGTCTGCTAAATGACGTAAATGTAATGATGGTATCAGTCTATCGCTCAACACATTTGCTTCATATGTTGCTTGCGTATCTCATTGCCAGGCTTGCTGGGCATTAATTTTGAGTTTTGCTGCTATAACAGCTTCCACTGTTCTGGGAAGGCTTTCCACTAGTTGTTGGAACATTGCTGCCGGGATTTGCTTCCATTCAGCCGCAAGAACATTAGTGAGGTCGGGCACTGATGTTGGGCGATTAGGCCTGGCTCGCAGTCTGTGTTCCAATTCATCCCAAAGGTGTTCGATGGGGTTGAGGTCAGGGCTTTATGCAGGCCAGTCAAATTCTTCCACACCGATCTCGACAAACAATTTCTGTATGGACAGTGCTTTGTGCACAGGGCATTGTCATGCTGAAACAGGAAAGGGCCTTCCCCAAACTGTTGCCACAAACTTGGAAGCACAGAATCGTCCAGAATGTCAATGTCTGCTGTAAAAATGAAAAAATGCTGTAGCGTTAAGATTTCCCTTACCGGAACTAAGGGGCCTAGCCCGAATCATGGAAAACAGCCCCTGACCATTATTCCTCCTCCACCAAACTTTACAGTTGGCACTATGCATTGGAGCAGGTAGTATTCTCCTGGCATCCTCCAAAGCCAGATTTGTCTGTTGGACTGCCAGATGGTGAAGCGTGATTCATCAGTCCAGAGAACGCATTTCCACTGCTCCAGAGTCCAATGGCGGCAAGCTTTAGACCACTCCAGCCGATGCTTGGCTGCTCGGCCATGGAAACCTGTTTTCATGAAGCTCCTGACGAACAGTTATTGTACTGACATTGCTTCTAGAGGCAGTTTGGAACTCGGTAGTGAGTGTTGCAACCGAGGACAGATGATTTTTACGCGCTTCAGCAGTCAGCGGTCCCGTTCTGTGAGCTTGTGTGGCCTACCACTTCGCGGCTGAGCCGTTGTTGCTCCTAGACGTTTCCACTTCACATTAACAGCAGTTACAGTTGACCGGGGCAGCTCTTCCAGGGCAGAAATTTGACGAACTGACTAGTTGGAAAGGTGGCATCCTATGACGGTGCCACATTGAAAGTCACTGAGCTCTTCAGTAAGGGCATTCTACTGCCAATGTTTGTCTATTGAGATTGCATGGCTGTGTGCTCGATTTTATACACCTGTCAGCAACGGGTGTGGCTGACATAGCCGAATCCACTAATTTGAATGGGTATCCACATACTTTTGTATATATAGTGTAGTTAACTGTGTGTGTGTGTGTGTATTTATTTATTTTCTTTACAGGGGGGCAGCAGTTCCTCTTCTACAGAGTACATAGTCCGGGTCCCCAAGTAAGTACTATCCAAGGCCTACAGCCATTGGGTTGTCATTCAACATTTGACCACAGCAGGGCCAATGTGTACAACATTCCTGACACTCTAACCGTTAATCATCGCATGCAAAATGGTTTTGGAAACCTCATAAACTCTACTTTCATATCGCTCCAAAATAATGTTTCTAATACAAAAGACAAACTTACTGTGTGTAATTTTAACACGGATTCCCACAGAGGTGTTTTGCGTTGCACATTTACCTGAACTACCTGAACTATGACACTTCCTGAGCTAATGGAAACACGGGGGCGAACACATAAAAAAAAACGTTGTCTCGAACCAGCGTTACACAAAAACCTCAATTTAAATCTGTGGTAAAACAGCTAACTTTCCGTAAGTGTATGTTTTGTATTTATAAAGTGTTCCAAGCAGGACATACAGTGAGGGGAAAAAAGTATTTGATCCCCTGCTGATTTTGTATGTTTGCCCACTGACAAAGAAATGATCAGTCTATAAGTTTAATGGTAGATTTATTTGAACAGTGAGAGACAGAATAACAACAAAAAAATCCAGAAAAACGCATGTAAAATTTTTTATAAATTGATTTACAATTTAATGAGGGAAATAAGTATTTGACCCCCTCTCAATCAGAAAGATTTCTGCCTCCCAGGTGTCTTTTATACAGGTAACGAGCTGAGATTAGGAGCACACTCTTAAAGGGAGTGCTCCTAATCTCAGCTTGTTACATGTATAAAAGACACCTGTCCACAGAAGCAATCAATCAATCAGATTCCAAACTCTCCACCATGGCCAAGACCAAAGAGCTCTCCAAGGATGTCAGGGACAAGATTGTAGACCTACACAAGGCTGGAATGGGCTACAAGACCATCGCCAATCAGCTTGGTGAGAAGGTGACAACAGTTGGTGCGATTATTCGCAAATGGAAGAAACACAAAAGAACTGTCAATCTCCCTCGGCCTGGGGCTCCATGCAATATCTCACCTCGTGGAGTTGCAATGATCATGAGAACGGTGAGGAATCAGCCCAGAACTACACGGGAGGATCTTGTCAATGATCTCAAGGCAGCTGGGACCATAGTCACCAAGAAAACAATTGGTAACACACTACGCCGTGAAGGACTGAAATCCTGCAGCGCCTGCAAGGTCCCCCTGCTCAAGAAAACACATATACAGGCCCGTCTGAAGTTTGCCAATGAACATCTGAATGATTCAGAGGAGAACTGGGTGAAAGTGTTGTGGTCAGATGAGACCAAAATGGAGCTCTTTGGCATCAACTCAACTCGGCGTGTTTGGAGGAGGAGGAATGCTGCCTATGACCCCAAGAACACCATCCCCACCGTCAAACATGGAGGTGGAAACATTATGCTTTGGGGGTGTTTTTCTGCTAAGGGGACAGGACAACTTCACCGCATCAAAGGGACGATGGACGGGGCCATGTACCGTCAAATCTTGGGTGAGAACCTCCTTCCCTCAGCCAGGGCATTGAAAATGGGTCGTGGATGGGTATTCCAGCATGACAATGACCCAAAACACACGGCCAAGGTAACAAAGGAGTGGCTCAAGAAGAAGCACATTAAGGTCCTGGAGTGGCCTAGCCAGTCTCCAGACCTTAATCCCATAGAAAATCTGTGGAGGGAGCTGAAGGTTCGAGTTGCCAAAAGTCAGGCTCGAAACCTTAATGACTTGGAGAAGATCTGCAAAGAGGAGTGGGACAAAATCCTTCCTGAGATGTGTGCAAACCTGGTGGCCAACTACAAGAAACGTCTGACCTCTGTGATAGCCAACAAGGGTTTTGCCCTTGTACTAAGTCATGTTTTGCAGAGGGGTCAAATACTTATTTCCCTTATTAAAATGCAAATCAATTTATAACATTTTTGACATGTGTTTTTCTGGATTTTTTTGTTGTTATTCTGTCTCTCACTGTTCAAATAAACCTACCATTAAAATTATAGATTGATCATTTCTTTGTCAGTGGGCAAACGTACAAAATCAGCAGGGGATCAAATACATTTTTCCCTCACTGTACAATTCACATTTTGGTCCACCAAAATCTACCATCCACTCAGATTTTCTACCAGCCAAAATGTTTTTTCCCCCCACAAAAATTACACACAAAAAACAGATGAGCAGGCTTTGTAATGTTTCTAAAACAATAAATGTATTACTAGTAGTAATGTGTTATGTTGTTTAATTTCATTTTTTGTGACCTGTTGCAGTGCTAGGTGGAATAGGCTATATAGGATTCGTAGTTCTTTGACTTTGTGCGATTAATTTACCAGCTATGAAATAAAACAGCAGAAATACTTTGAAAACAGCTACTGCATTATTTATTTTACTGTAAATGTGATCATACTTTACTATTTTGATTCACAAATGCGAGTGAAATGTTCGCACTGTGGAGCCCTAACCACCCGCCAACGTTGCTGGTGAAATAGACATCCAATGCCAAAAACTACCTGCATTTGGCAGGTGTCGGGTGTTAATTTTAGGCCCTGGTTCCAATGTTTCCAAAACCGTACTGCTATCAATGATCAATTGTTTTTAGATTGAGTGTTTTACACGTGACCAAATCACCTCCGCTAATCAAAAGGGACGTGGAATGAATCCAATGTAGCATTGGATTCAAAAGGGCAACATCCTCCTGAGATGTAAACTATGTTCAAACATCCACGGGTATGGCCCTGTGTGTAGAACCAACACGCCAGCCAGGCTTGTTATATTGACATGTCAATATTTAGTATAGAGAAATCAAATGGTAGGTATAAGCTACAGTGCATTCGGAAAGTATTCAGACCCCTTTACTTTTTCAACATTTTGTTACATTACAGCCTTATTCTAAAATGTATTAAAAAATAAATAATCTTCAATCTACCCACATACTCCATAATGACAAAGCAAAAACACGTTTTTATACATTTTTGCACATTTATAAAAAACAAAAAACAGATCCCTTTTATATAAGTATTCAGACCCTTTGCTATGAGACTCGGAATTGAACTCCGGTGCATCCTGTTTCCATTGATCATCCTTGATGTTTTTACAACTTGATTGGAGTCCACCTGTGGTAAATTCAATTGATTGGACATGATTTGGAAAGGCACGCACCTGTCTATATAAGGTCCCACAGTTGACAGTGCATGTCAGAGCAAAAACCAAGCCATGAGGTCGAAGGAATTGTCCGTAGAGCTCCGAGACAGGATTGTGTCGAGGCACAGATCTGGGGAAGGGTACCAAAAAATATCTGCAGCATTGAAGGTCCCCAAGAACACAGTGGCCTCCATCATTCTTAAATGGAAGAAGTTTGGAACCACCAAGACTCTTCCTAGAGCCGGCCAAACTGAGCTATCGGGGGAGAAGGGCCTTGGTCAGGGAGGTGACCAAGAACCTGATGGTCACTCTGACAGAGCTCTAGAGTTCCTCTGTGGAGATGGGAGAACCTTCCAGAAGGACAACCATCTCTGCAGGACTCCACCAACCAGGCCTTTTATGGTAGAGTAGCCAGACGGAAGCCACTCCTCAGTAAAAGGCACATGACAGCCCGTTTGGAGTTTGCCAAAAGGCACCTAAAGGACTCTCAGACCATGAGAAACAATATTCTCTGGTCTGATGAAACCAAGGTTGAACTCTTTGGCCTGAATGCTATGCGTCACGTCTGGAGGACACCTGGCACCATCCCTATGATGAAACGTGGTGGCAGCATCATGCTGTGGGAATGTTTTTCAGCGGCAGGGACTGGGAGACTAATCGGGATCGAGGGAAAGATGAACAGAGCAAAGTACAGAGAGATCCTTGATAAAAACCTGCTCCAGAGTACTCAGGACCTCAGACTGGGGGCGAAGGTTCACCTTCCAACAGGACAACGACCCTAAGCACACAGCCAAGCCAACATAGGAGTAGCTTCGGGACAAGTCTCTGAATGTCCTTGAGTGGCCCAGCCAGGACTTGAACCCGATCGAACATCTCTGGAGAGACCAGAAAATAGCTTTGCAGCGACGCTCCCCATCTAACCTGACAGAGCTTGAGAGGCTCTGCAGAGAAGAATTGGAGCGTCATACCCAAGAAGACACAAGGCTGTAATTGCTCCCAAAGGTGCTTCAACAAAGTACTGAGTAAAGGGTCTTTATAGTTATGTAAATGTGATATTTCAGTTTGTAATTTTTAATACATTTGCTAACATTTCTAAAAACCAGTTTTTGCTTTGTCATTATTGGGGTATGGTGTGTGGATTGAGGAAAACATAAAATAAATGTAATCCAGAATAAGGCTGTAACGTAACAAAATGTGGAAAAAGTCAAGGGGTCTGAATACTTTCCGAATGCACTGTACATGATGTGGTATCTACATGAATCATGACAAAGCTTACACCACTAACCCTTGTGTGCGTGTGTAGGAACACCAGTAAGAAGTACAGCATCATGGCCTTTAACTCTGGGGACAAAGTCAACTGCTCCTCCTGGACCCAGGTATGTAGGCCAACTCTCTGGGAAACTCGCCTCTCATTACAACTCTCCTCAGTAGGCTTCTAGAACACTCACTGATTCGCTATCCCTCTCTGTTTCTCTCCCTCCCTGTCTCTCTCTCTCTCCCGGCCTCTCTCTCTCTCCCGGCCTCTCTCTCCCTCCCTCCCTGTCTCTCTCTCCCTCTGTCTCTCTCTCCCTGTCTCTCTCTCCCTGTCTCTCTCTCTCTCCCTGTCTCTCTCTCTCTCTCCCTGTCTCTCCCTGTCTCTCTCTCTCCCTGTCTCTCCCTGTCTCTCTCTCTCCCTGTCTCTCTCTCTCCCTGCCTCTCTCTCCCTCCCGGTCTCTCTCTCTCTCTTCCCTTCCTGTCTCTCTCTCGCTCTCCCTCCCTCCCCCCAGGCTCGTATGGAGCGGGACATGAGTAACAGGAGGATGTATGGTGTGGAGGAGACGGAGGAGGGGGCGGCAGGCAGTGAGTTTGGGAAGAAGCAGAGGGAGGAGGCGCGCAGGAAGAAGTTTGGCATCGTCACCAGGGAGTTCAAGGTGGAGGACCAACCCTGGATCCTCAAGGTCAACGGCAAGGCAGGGAAGAGGTGAGGCAGACACCCAACCATACATACACACACAAACAGCAAAGCAGGGAGGCTACACACAGGCTTTGAGCTTACTTTTACTTAGCTCTGGTTCTCTCACAAATACTTACCAAGACATCCTCTGTCTTTCTGTCTATCCAAGGGCCAGGAGGATCTCCCATATTGCCTGCACTATCCTTTTATATCAACTTGAAGCCCCCTTTCTCTCTCTCTGTTTCTCTCTCTATTTGTCTCAGGTTCAAGGGTACGAAGAAGGGGGGCGTGACGGAGAACGCGTCCTACTACATCTTTACCCAGTGTCCCGACGGGGCCTTCGAGGCCTTCCCCGTCAATGGCTGGTACAACTTCGTCCCCCAGGCCAAACACCGCACGCTGACCGCCGAGGAGGCCGAGGAGGAGTGGGGCAGGTGAGGGGAGGGGAGACAGGTGAGGGGTGGGGGAGACAGGAGAAGGGAAGATACTGAGGGGAAGAATAAAGATTGGGGGTGCAACTTCACCCCTCAGGTAAAAACACTAGGGGGTAGGGGCGGGGGGACTGGGGAAAGTAGTGGGTTGGAGAGTAGAGAGAAAATGTGATGGTGCAACTTCACCCCTCAGGTAAAAACACTAGGCGGTAGGGGCAGGGGGACTGTCGAACATAGTGGGGTATTTAGTTTAGTTGATTAATTCTACAATTTAAAAAAACAAGAACACATAACACTTGAAAAAGCCATACATGCACCAGAGTAAAATCATTGAGGATAACACACAATAAAGTCTGGGACTTATTTCCATTGTGTTCCTCTTGAAACAAGATGGCTAGGCAAGATCGAACACGGTTGAACACAGTATGACAGCGAGATAATAAAACAATAAACAAAGAACAAGAACATGTGATGAAAATGTGATGGTGCAACTTCACCCCTCAGGTAAAAACACTAGGGGGTAGGGGCAGGGGGACTGGGGAATGTAGTGAGGTAGGAGAGTACAGAGAAAATGTGATGGTGACACTCTCAAACACACAATTCCCCCCCCCCCCCCCCCCCCTCAGGAGGAACAAGGTGGTGAACCACTTCAGCATCATGCTCCAGAGGCGCCTGCGGGAGCAGGAGAGAGGGCCGGACGATGATGACGAGGAGGGCGAGAAGGGGGGGAAGAAGAAAAAGAAGAAGGGAGGAAGAGGAGGGGACCTGCGCATCCATGACCTGGAGGACGACCTGGAGTTGAGCAGTGATGAGAGCGACAGCAGCGGAGGAGAAGGTAATGAGCGAGGGACGAAGGAGAGGAGAGAGGAGACCTAAGAAGTGACAAGAGCAACAGTGGTGTGTTAGAAGGTTTGGGCTTTTCTTCAATTAATCTTCCCTCGATTCTTTGCATCCTCTTGTCTCCTTCTCAAAACTCATTGGAGACTAAGTTCTTTGGGGAGGAACTTGGACCTTCTCCAATACAGTTGAGGAGGAGGCAAGGAGATGGGACGTGAGGAGTCACAGAAAGATAAATTGAGATGGAGCCAAGGATGGAGTAGAGGAAAGCGACAGCAGCTTCTGTGGAGATAAGGATGGAGGGAGGATAGAAGGATGGAGGGAGGAGAGAAGGATGGAGGTAGGATAGAAGGATGGAGGGAGGAGAGAAGGATGGAGGGAGGAGAGCCCAGTAATGAGGAGAATGAGTAGAAAGAGAGGCATGGGAGTCATTCAACCTCAAAAAGCACAAGAAAGAGGATTTCGAACCCAACATCTCAGATTGTTCTGAAAACGGTTTCTGCGGTTAGAAACAGATAAGATTAGCGTTTCTTTAACATTATTTTTCTGAAAGATAATTAGAACTCTGAATTGAAAGTTAGTTGATTACACCTAAATTGGCAATTTCAATTGATTGGATTCATGTAATATTCAATTAATATAGTTCCCAACATCCGATATGGACCAAACCGCCTCTTAACAATGGTCAAAAGCCACCCACAGACCCCTTTAGTTGTCTGGACTTCACAGAGATACACAAAGAAAAAATTGAACACAGATGCAATGTAGTTTATTTGTAAAAAATAATTTGGGTAAACAACATGTAGGCTACAGTAAAGTGTTTTTGATATATTATGATATCAATAAACAGGAAAAAGGCAACTGATATCGACAAGGATTATCCATGTCGGTGCTCATCACTAGTATACAATGTGTATGAACCACATGCCTGTTAGCCGAAGACTCATCTCAATGTCTAACAAATAATGGACAGTACATTTTAGATATTCAACTGTTAAATTGTTAAAGGTGCATCTCTTTCCGTTTCCTTTCTTTTCTCACCCCCTCTTCTTCCTTTATTTTCTCACCTTCCCTTCTTCTTTTCCTCTCAGATGGAGACAGCAAGCCCAAGAAGAAAGAGGGGGATGCGAAGGGGAAGAAGAAGAAGAAGAAGAAGAAGAGGGGTAGTGACAGCGAGGCTAATGAGGACAGTGACGATGGAGACTTTGAGGGCCTGGAGGTCGACTACATGTCAGATGAGAGCAGGTGAGACACACACACACATACACACACACACACACAGATACACACACATACACCAGAGCTTCTATTGCAGCTGTAGGGTCACACACACCACAGCTGACACTTGTAGAGACATACACAAAAACACTTCCTGCAACCTCTAATTTATTTGTTTCTCTCCTTCATCCCTTCCTCGCTCTCTTGCTCCTTACTCCCTTGTTCCTGCAGTTCAGAGGAAGAGGCCGGCGAAGAGAAGGCCAAGTCCAATAAAGAGGCCGTTCCCAAAGGTCAGAGGGCACCCCCATGGCAACAATACAACGTGTGCATGTGTGTGAATTCTAAGAACTCTAACTCTGTTCACAGGAATCGACGAGGCATCGGAGAGTGAGGAAGAGAGCGAGGAGGAGAAACAGAACGAGGAAGAGGGGAAAGAGGAGGAGGAGGAAGAGGAAGGGAAGAAGACCCCGGTCCAGACAAAGAAGAAGAGAGGTAGCAGTTCATTCTTCTTCTTTAGAATCTTTATTGAATCTTTACTGATCACGTTTCACAGGGAAGTGGCAAGACTTGAACCCATGGAAATATACTGTGTTTTTGTTGAAGGCTATTTTGTGATAACAATGTTGTGTGTGTGTTTCAGACAGCAGCGGTGAGTCGGACACTTCAGAGGACAGCGACATCGATGGAGAGGCAGCCTCAGCTCTCTTCATGGTGGTGAGTGTGTGTGTGTGTGTGTGTGTGTGTGTATGAGAGAAAGTAAGTGTGTGTTACAGTTTGTGTGTGGTCCCTTTTGTAGTGCCACTGTTCAATGTCGACCCCACTCTCTCTCTCTTTCTCGCAGAGATGGAGTCTTGATCTCGTGTTCTTGATCTGGGTCATGGTGCCCAAGATCTTGGTCTGGGTCTTTTCTAAAACCCTGGGTATGGTAGTTGATTAACCTGATGCCATATTTTGTCGTTTTTATGTGACACAAAAGGGGTGACACAACACACAATTTCCAGGGTATCTTGCTTCTCTAGTGTGGCAGCAGTGTGGGCACAAAAATATGCCTTTTTAACACTTTGATGTGGTTGGTGTTGGTCTGGCTCTCGTTCTTGGATTTCCAGATTTCAACTGGTCTTGGTGTGGCAATGGTCTCTAAACACTGGGTCTTTCTTGGTCTGGATCTTGAGAGTGGACTTTGCTCTTGACTTCCGCTCTTGACATTTCTGTTTTCCCGCCATTCCCAATTTCCTCGCTCTCTTGCTCCCCCGCCCCCCCCTCAGAAGAAGCGTACTCCTCCTAAGCGTGGTGGTGGGCGTGGCTCTGGAGGCAGCTCCAGGACTGGCAGTCGCCCCGGAACACCGTCCATAGACTCTGCCTCCACCTCCAACACACTCCGAGCCGCTGCTAGCAAACTGGAGCAAGGTACACACGCACGCACGCACTCACACACATTTTCACAGATCGGAAATAGATATTTATATTTGTAATATTTGCATGCACATTAACATATTCACAGGATATGAAAGTCTTATTTTGTTTGTCTTACCTTAAGGCTATGTGTGACCTCAGCACTGTATGCTAACTCTTCTTGATTGAACAATAAAGTGTTGTTAAAACTGTCTCTAACATCCTGCGCTCTGCCTCCCCCTCCCCCCTCCCTCCCTCCTCACAGGTAAGAGACAGGTGGTGGGTGGTAGCTCTGAGTCTCCAGCTGCCAAGAGGCTGAAGATGGAGTCCAGCAGCACGGCTATCACCACCCAGAGTCCTGCCCCCTCAGGGAAGAGCACTCCACAGCCCCCCTCAGGCAAATCAACTCCCAGCTCCAGGTATATTCCTCCTCTTCAATCTCTCCTGTTGGTTCTCTTTTCTCACCCTTACCCTCTCTCTAGCTCTCACACACACACTCGTTCTCTCTTTCTCTTCTTCCTCTTTTCTCTGTCCCCTACTCTCCTCTCCTCTCCCACACATACTCTTTCTTTCTTCCTCTTATATTCTCTCCCCTCCTCTCTTATCTTCTCATGTTCCCACTCTATCACCCTCTCTTTCTCTCCCCTACTCTTCTTGCCTCATTCCCTTCCCCCTCCCACCACCTACCCTCCCCCTGCTTTGTTCTCCCCCTCTCCATCCTCCCTCCCTCTCCACAGTGACGTTCAGCTGACAGAGGAGGCGGTGCGCCGCTACCTGATTCGGAAGCCCATGACCACCAAGGACCTGCTGAAGAAGTTCCAGACCAAGAGGACGGGCCTGAGCAGCGAGCAGACAGTCAACGTCCTGGCCCAGATCCTCAAACGCCTCAACCCTGAGAGGAAGAACGTCAACGACAAGATGCACTTCTATCTCACCGAGTGAACCGGACTCGTGTTTCATTAGGGCATGCGTTTTAAAATGGAAAACGAAGTCCACTGTTTCAATCCCTTTGGTGCCTAATGAATATGACCCAGGGAGGAAGGAGGAGATGAATAGAATAGGGTCCTTGGAAGAGAAAGTGGAGTAAGGTAAAAAGAAAAGTGTTATGCAACTGTGATTTGAGATGCGGTGTAAACTAGCTTCAATATCTGTCTCTAAAAATGGTTTGAAGTCAAGTGTTCCTGTGGCATTCCTTTCAGGTCAAACCACTTACTCTTACAAGACATAAGGTTTGTCCATGAATTAGGCAATGTGAAAGTATTAATGAAAACATTCCGTGTAGATCTTGCCTGCCGATTCATCTCCCACCACAAACCACTGGATTCAACAAAACAAGTGAGGGTTATTTTGTACGAATTGGCGTATCTCCCCAGGCCTCTATTTCTTGTTTTAGAATTTGGTATTTTTTTGTTTGTTTATTTTCATTTCTAATAAAAACCCTGCTGTTGCCATGGCTGGTCTCCTTGTCATGTTTCTGGTTGGTTTGCATAATTAGAAGCAGAACACTGGACAAGGATGTCATACATCTTATGGCTCTTCAATATAGAAGCTCTAATATTCTTTGAGGTTCTGCCGGAAGTCTATTGTGCTATCCAGTGGATTCATTGGAAATCTACTTTGCAGCAACTGTTGGCACCGATGTGTACTTACTTGGATAAGAGTAGTGTGTACTTACTTGGATAAGAGTAGTGTGTACTTACTTGGATAAGAGTAGTGTGTACTTACTTCAGTGACAGTCTACTGTTGGACTGTAGCTCTTCATGCCATAGAGAAGTGGTTGTGTAGTGAGAAACCATGTTAAACAGAAGTCATGAGTCATTCTTTTTATTCATCGTTATTCAGCATGACATGACAGGTGTAGGCTTATTAATGGTATACCTGCTTCTTCCTATGCTGAGGAAAATTGCTTAAGATGTGCCAAGTAGAGTCAAATCTACTAATGGCACATCTGACCGTCTATTAATGGCATGATTACTGGCAGATCCCAACTGATCTTGGTTTCCTCAGTGTTATCGTCAAACCCTGTTGACATTAGAAACTGTCATGACTCCTAAAAACCTGCTTCTTCCGCTCATGTTTCTACGATTGAGGGATTGTATTTTTTACAATGACATGGAGCGACAGCGATGTCATAAATCTCAAAATTCTTCAGGAAGTTGACTTTATATTACAGTGTCTGATGGCTCTACATAGGTAGGCCTATTCTTCTAGTTTATGTTCATCTCAGATAAATCACATGGTGTGTCTATCTTCTTTTAATACAAACCAGTATTATTATCTGCAGTGTCTGGACCAAGGCCAGTGAATGATGAGAAACAGTTGGCTCCAATGATTAGATCCAGGCTACTTTACTGTAGGCTTATACTTGTTGTTTTGTAGTGAGAAATACAGTATCACTCTCCTCAATGACTCTGACACCTCATTCTTACATCAAGAAAAAGCCCTTTAATATTTTTGTCAATATTCAATCACAAATAGATCATACACTTCAACTATATATTTTAGATATTGAAATAAAAATGTGATATATTTGAGTGTAAACACATTACCCTGCAGTATTGCTCATAGTAACTGGTAGTCATAGGTGATCAGGTGACTGGACCGTTTCAGCCACCGTCAGGGAAGGACATAATCAGGGGTTGACCTTAGGGGTTGACCTTAAGGGTTGCCCTATTGCCTGGAGCAAGTGAACTGAGCAGTCGGGCAAGTTGAACCTGCTCTGAGGTTTTCCCATGTGATTTTTATTTTTACTGAAAACGAAACTGCATAAAATTCCAGTAGACCTAGCCTAAAATTGATCATTCTGGTTCATCCCCATTGTTTAAGTGAAAGACGGACAATTTATGGCATTTATGGCCACCGGACAAGTTGAACCTGCTCTGTGGTTGTCCCCATTAGGCAGGTGATTTTTTAAAGCTGAATTTCAGTAGCCTAACATAGGGGCTACACTGGGGCTTTTTTGACCTGCTACAGTGCTGGGGAGAACAACAAGTTGGGGTATACCTGCCTCCACTTTCACAGAGATTGTGAGTGCTGTGTGCCTTTCCTTCATGACCACTGATCTGACAGAAATTAACCGGCCATATGGTGAAACCTATCCAGAACTTTCACTTATCAGTTGACATGAAGGAAAGGACACAAGAGAAGGAAGGCACAGTAGTAGTATTGGGACGTAGCCCTAGTCTTTTTCATTAAACAATCTTCATGTCTCTATCTTCATTGGTCTTCATGTTCGGGCTATGTCGTAGTTGTTCACAAACCAGTCACAGGTCTTCTTGATACCTGTAGGGGAGGAGAGACACAGTCAGTCATTTATGGATACTGTGCATTTTGGAAGAGTGGTTTAATTACCATGAACGTTCCTTTCATCATAATCATAAAACTACTGATAACCGGATAGGTATCAAATATCATGTGGTAATGTGTCAGTGTTATTTACAAGGCAACTAATTCCCACTACAATATTGAGTTGTTTTCTGGACAGAAAATGCATCCCTCAGTGTTTTGATCTCTGACCTTCAGAGAGCGGCGTGAAGGTGAAGTCAGGGAGGTAGCGTCGCAGCTTGGCATTGCTGGCCGTCTTCTTCATCTGACCGTCTGACTTGCTGGTGTCGAACTGATGTCATAGGTCAAGGGTCACAATAGGCAAAGGACAGGGAGATTACATAGTTACAGTACAACGGATATGGGGGGTAGCCAGCCCGAGTGGGCTTTTAACCTACTACAACTGTAAGTCTGTCAGTCCAACAGGTGTAATGAACCTCTAGATGTGGTTGCTGGTGTTGTACTAAGGATTCTACTAGATTGGCTCTAGACACTGATCTAAGGTCAAATTTGAATAATGGTTAAGGTTAGGATTTGGGGAGGATATGCTGATCCTAGATCTGTGCCTAGGGGCAACTCCTATCAGGAGTATACAGCATGTGGAAAGATACAATTATTTGACCTTTGAAGTCCAGGGCGTCTGCGATCATGTCTACGGCGTCCTTGATGGAGAGCTCCTCCTCCTCCCCCACTATGAGAGACAAGTGTCAAAGGAGATTGGTCCAGTTGCATACTGTACACACACACATTGACTGATCACCCACCCACCCACACACACCATGTTGGACTCACCAGAGAGAATAATGGGGTCAATCTCATCATACTCCCGCAGCACCCAGAGGAACAGACGCGCTACATCCTGAGAGAACACACACACAGATGTAATGCATACACACACATATCTGACATGCACTGACACACACACACACACAGAGTAATTCACTAAACCTACCAGAGAGTAGATGAATTGTCTCCTGGGTGTTCCGGAGCCCCACACCTGTAGAGGGGTTCCCTCCTCTGTCAGAAGGAGATTAGAAAGGAGTAAGTGTTTGTATCTGTGTGTGTGTGTGTGTTTGCGTGAGTGCGTACAAGTAGTGTGTGTGTTACTTACTTTTAGCAGCATGTGTCTTGTGCATGAGTGCCGACAGCACGTGACCATTTTCAAAGTTGAAGTTGTCATAGGGACCATACACGTTAGTCGGGATTACGGCGGTGTAGCGACGCCCATGCTGTGCAAAGTATCCCCTGTTGTCAATCAAGCCCACACACACATACAAACACAAACACACACACACACAATCATGTTGTGGTTTGAACATTTAAAGACCCACTCCAGCTATTTTTTTACTTTCCCGTTAAAAAACAATATTCCACGTATACATACAGTAAAAGGTACACACCCTTAAGGGTAAAAACATATATTTTTTGCAAAATGGTGTTTTTTTCAACACAATGGCAGGAGTTGGCAATTCAAGGGGTTGGGATGATGGAAAACGGCTGTGTTTATTTTCCCTTTTGTACTATTTGCACATCATTACAACACTGTATATAGACATAATATGACACTTGTAATGTCTTTATTATTTTGGAACTTTTGTGAGTGTAATGTTTACTGTTAACTTTGTATTGTTTATTTCACTTTTGTTTATTATCTATTTCACTTGCTTTGGCAATGTAAACACGTTTCCCATGCCAATAAAGCCCCTTAAATTGAAATTGGATGCACACTGATGTCATCGGCCTTCCCCCTTGCTTCCCAGAACAATAGAAGAGCAATTCCCACCTAAGAAACATATGGTTCTCAGAACTTTATGTGCTAGCTGGGTATCCTGCACTATTCCCAGAACATTGTCGGAAGGTTATAATGAAAATAAACATTGGACAACCACGCTCTCACCAAGCTCTAAGAAACATATGGTTCTCAGAACATTATGTGCTAGCTGGGTTGTGTCATGTAATGAGGGACCTGTACCAGCTACTGAAATGCACCTTTTGTTAAGTAAATCAGGTGATAAATGAGGTCCTAGGGAGGCTGGAGTGGGTCTTTAAACTGTGTGCTAATGTACCTGCACAGGTAACCAATTAGTCACCAGCTCACCTGTTCTGAATATCAATCATTCTTTTGGCATGTGAGTAGCCAAAGTTCGAGTCGTGTGGAGGCCCATTGTGGATCTGTGTGAAGGGGAGGAAAGCATGAGTGAACATACACCAGCTTTTCTTAAAAATCACATTTTGAAGGGCCAGAGGTTCCCAAACATACAGTAGTTATACTGTCAATGGGCACATAGGCTTCCTATACTGTTGATCTCCTTCTTTTGACTAGCGCCATTAGGGCTCTGGTCAAAAGTAATGCACATAGTATTTTAGTATTAAACTCAACATGCTCTCATTGATAGGGTCTTATTGGTTGTTCAACTCACCATGCTCTCATCGATAGGGTAGGTGGTCTTGTCAGGAAAGATGCAGCTGGACAGGCAGGACACCACCTTGATGACGCCCATTTCGTGAGACGTCTGCAGCACGTTGTCATTGATGCGAAGGTTGGCCCTCTGTGAAGGCAAAACACTGTGGTCTCAATTCAATCAAACCCGTATTACGGCTTTACACAATAACTTGTTTTCCCACAAATGAATTCAAAGAATGCATTTGGATACTGTGATAACAAGCTCCCCTGTAACTCTCCTCACAGATGGATTAATACCCTTTCGGAATTAGATTAAGAAGTGTGGCAACAAAGTCACTGTGTAAACTTCGCTTTGACAAGTTCAACTAAATGTCAGCCTAGATTGTTGCCCAGCCAGGCAAACATGGACATTTATATTTAGGTCATTCAGCAGAATATATTTTCCAGAGCTACTTACAGTCAGTGCACTCAACCGGTAGCTAGATAAAACAAACCCATTTCACGGCAATGCTGTGACAACAAACGTACTGAACAACACAAAACAAACACACTGTATATGACATAACTACACAGAACAAATACAGTACACACAAATATTTAGTCATATAGTATGTTTCGATGTATCGGTTTTGTGTCATTCAATATTATACTAGGCTATGGGACCAAAAGTCACTGATCTGAACAAAATACTGGACAGAATTGAACACAGAAACGGACCGACCTTTGGACAGTTCAGGCAAAATGCCAGATGGGCTGGTTCCATCTTCAGCCCATCGGCTTGTCTAAATTGGGGGTTTTGTATAGAATGATCATTATTTGGTTAACAATTGGGGCCTCTAGGTAAGAAAATGGGCCAGTGTGGGAGCTTTGAGGGAAAAAATGGTCCGGTGAGTTAGAAATGCAGGTAGAGTCCGATCCTTGACTCTGGCGATGTCATTTACAAAATAGCCTCCAACACTCTACTCAGCAAATTGGATGTAGTCTATCATAGTGCCATCCGTTTTGTCTCCAAAGCCCCATACACTACCCACCACTGTGACCTGTACGCTCTTGTTGGCTGGTCCTCACTACATGTTCGTCGTCAAACCCACTGGCTCCAGGCCATCTATAAATCACTGCTAGGCAAATCCCCGCCTTATCTTAGCTCATTGGTCACCATAGCAGCACCCACCCGTAGTCTGCGCTCCAGCAGGTATATCTCACTGGTCATTCCCAAAGCCAACACCTCCTTTGGCCGCCATTCCTTCCAGTTCTCTGCTGCCAATGACTGGAACGAATTGCAAAAATCTCTGAAGCTGGAGACTCTTATCTCCCTCACTAACTTTAAGCATCAGTTGTCAGAGCACCTTACCGATCACTGCACCTGTACACAGCCCATCTGAAATTAGCCCACCCAACTACCTCATCCCTATATTGTTATTTATTTTGCTCTTTTGCACCCCGGTATCTCTATTTGCACATAATCTCTTGCACATCTAGCATTCTAATTGTAATTATTTTGCACTATAGCCTATTTATTGCCTTACCTCCATAACTTGCTACATTTGCACACACTGTATATATATTTTCTGTTGTATTTTTTGACATTATGTTTTTTTACCCCATATGTAACTCTGTGTTGTTGTTTTTATCGCACTGCTTTGCTTTATCTTGGCCAGGTCGCAGTTGTAAATGAGAACTTGTTCTCAACTGGCTTACCTGGTTAAATAAAGGTGAAAAAAAAAAAAAAAAAAAAAAAAAAATGCCCGGTCCGAATTTCTAGTCCCATCCCTGATTGAACAAATGTACTTTAGGACTGAAACATATAGCCTAGGTATTGAAACAAACTGGGTAGTTAGATAATGAATCTCACCAGAAAGTGTAGGTTCTCCTTCATGTGAAGGTAGAGTCCTCCCACCTTGGCAGCCAGGTGGATGACATGGGTGGGCCGATACTTCTTAAAAACTGCTATTGTCTGTTGTAGATCTCTGGCAGAACATTGTATACATGTCATCATCATCATCATCATCATCATCATCATCCTATTTAATGGAAAACACATCAATCTCATAAAAGTATGCATGCACAAATGTAATTAGCTAAACATTTAATGTGGTTCCAACAGGAACTATATAGAAACTCTACCTATATACTGTATATATCCATCAATCCATCAATCTATAGAATTGAATAGAAAATAATTGAATAGCAGAGAATATAATAATTTTTCCAGGAGTGAACTTCTTTTTTGGACTTCTTTTATCCATTTCGTTCCTGTTTGAACCACAAAACCAGTCCCAGAAGCAAAAGGGTCATAACAGGAATTTACTAATATTTAAACCAGGGTTTCATACAGTGCAACGTGACATACATTTCCTATAGAAATATGTTATGTAGAACAGACATGCTGGTGTTTCTCGGGCATGTAGACTATGGGATCATGGCATCTCTATATAGATTAGGTCATTTTTATCTGCAACGACCAAGCCTCAGACCAGCTCTGCTGAGAATATGAGGTTTATGTGACATAACTCACACGAGGTTGGCTTCTTTGGAGCAGAGGAAGGTCCACTGTTCGCCCTCGAGACAGCCGCCTTCTTGTTTCACCACGTGCTCGATGGCCTTCCCGACCAATCCGGATCCGCCCGTGACGAGCACGCGCATCGGCGCAGCCTTAGTCTGCGAATCCATCTCTCACTCTGATCAAAGAAAGCTAACTTTTATTTTTCAGTTGTGATATTCACATAACGCTATTACGATGAAGCCCTAAGCAAAGTAGGCTGATACGAATGACAGTGTGATCATGGCCCTATTTATAGCCTACATTAAAACGTAATAATGATGATAATACAAAACTAAGAATAGTTATACATTTAGGCTAATAAGGAATTAATAACATGCTATACATCAAACGCAAGTTGAAAACGTATTAACACACTTTTCGTTTCGTTTACGATTTCGTTGTAGCCTATTTGTTTAACCATGGAGACTACTTTATTGTATTTATTTCCTGTCTACATTTAATGACTTTTTTATTTTGAAATAAATTCAATTTGGCATATTAAATATTAAGATCAAGAGTCCAAAACGGAATGAATTGCATTATGATAATGTTAATTTTAGAAAAAGGACAAATAGCTTAAGCCAAATGTGTTTAATCGAAATAATGGTTAGGCTCATTAGGCTTATATTACAAAATAGTATATTACAACATCAGATGATCATATAGGCTACACCACTGACATTATTTTAGCAACGCAAACAAGAGCAGGCTAAAAGTAGCCTATACGAAGTTTGTCGAAAGAAAATGTCTAGGCCTACTATTTTAAATAAAAATAATGTGTTGAAGTCAAAAGCACCCATTCATTCAACAAAAGAAAAAAGGCCTATAAATAGGATTCATAGGCCAAATATTAATGAAGGCAAACATTTCAAATATGAATGAAGGCAAAACATTTCAAATATTAATCCGCATAGTTTATGTGGGCTATTTAGAATTATAATCAATCAAATGTTTTACTCGGCAAGACCCTCATGTTATTTAAATATGTATCTCATCAATACACAAAGTTAATGTATGAATTCAAACCTGTAAAATGTTTCGTTAGAATTGTCCTCCTCGAATAAAGTCAGTATTAGATCCTATTTCTGTACGCTGAAGAATATAAATGAGGTCTAGGCTATCTCTCTTGTCTTGTGCACTAAACATGTCAATAGCAAAGCCGCAGGCACAAGGTGCGGTCGCTCTTATAGGTTACCTGTGAGCTACACTCTTAGAAAAAAAGGGTTATACTGAGTGTAGTAGCCTTACAGGTGACATCATGTGCAGCGAATCTGACGATCCCAGTTTCTCGCACCATCTCAGGTACCACATTAAGAAAATACAAGGACTGTTAAAATAGGTTTGCTGAAAAAAAAAAAGTTTTCCCCACCATAAATGTAATATCACTTCTGTCTGGTAAATGTATAGGCGATTTTAACACATTTATGGTGTTGACTCTTTATTGCAATGTTTTATGGCGTTGTACCAGGTCCGCACTACATAACATCAGTATAGCCTTCTCAAACATTTTGATAAAACCATATCAAATCATTCCATAATTAAAATATACTGACACAAGTATATCAATTTTATTTATTTATTTTACTTTCTTTGTTTCACAACTGCAGCATTGTATCCAACATAGGGCTATATAGGCAGGTGCGTAACTTGCGGGGGGGCTTCCCGACCAATGATTGGAGTGCTAAGCCTATGTCAGATACAGTGAGTGTAATTATCTCTGAGTGTAATTTGCTCAATATAAGGAGTTGAGAAATAAAGTTGACATCATTAGAAATAATATATCTCCCTCTTTTATACTGTAGGTATGTAATAAAAAATATGCTTAAGTATGCTTAGACATGCAGAAAAATATCATGATATTATCATAAGGTGCCAGATTACGTTTAAACCAAGTATTTTTCTGCATGTCTAAGCATACTTCTTGACCTGTCTGTATCCTCCTGAAAAGTGGTTCTGTTTATTCTTTTTATTTTATTTTAACAACTTAACCCTATTTTTCAATTTTGCAACTTGAGTCTGATAATTATCTGTATAAAACAGTTAAACTGATAATACTTGTGGAACATAAAAATACTTGCTTGTTAAATGTTTCCAGTTGAAAAATAATATCCAGAGCAACTTACAATAGTGAGTGCATACATTTTCATACTGGTCCCCGTGGGATTCGAACCCACAACCCTAGCATTGCAAGCGCCATGCTCTACCAACTGAGACACATCATCACATCACATCATCACAAACCAATTGATGTCGCAGTGTACTCAATTACTGTATTGTGCATTTTTTTCTTCATGCTGATGGAAAGTCTACAGGTACAAATAGATGACCAGCATATGTATAATACAGTATTTACATTTAGTGGTTTGTAAGTATGGTAAATTAATACTGCACAAAAAGCGGAGGTTTTCCATGTTATTTGATCATGAAAAATATTTAATTTGTTGTGGATGTTTTGGGTCTTTGTCCATAACTTTACACCTTTTGATGTAAATGTTTGAGGACAAGGTTTTGCTTTCTGGATTACATTAGAATGACGATCACAGAGAAAGGGACAGGGCAACAACTCTTACAATTCCAACTATTGAATCCTACAAGATGCTGTTCTTAATTATAAAACAACCTTTTCTGCCAAAGCAGAGATGGAGATTTTTTTTTATTTGCCTGTTCTACAGAAGTCTATATGGTCTGCTAATACAGGACTAGTAAAGGCCCAGTGCACTACTTTTTTAAATTAATACATTTTTTATTCTGATTTTTCAGGGGGTGCATCCTCAGCAACCCTACTTCCCGCGACTATGTATGCATGCACATACATACATACATACATACATACATACATACATACATACATACATACATACATACATACATACATACATACATACATACATACATACATACATACATACATACATACATACATACATACATACATACATACATACATACATACATACATACATACATACATACTAACATACATACATACATACATACATACATACATACATACATACATACATACATACATACATACATACATACATACATACATACATACATACACTCGTCTGTAGCTCAATTGGTAGAGCATGGTGCTTGTAATGCCAGGGTAGTGGGTTCAATCCCTGGGACCACCCATACGTTAAAAAAAATGTATGCAACCCGGGACCACCTATACGTAAAAAAAATGTATGCACACATGACTGTAAGTCGCTTTGGATAAAAGCGTCTGCTAAATGGCATATTATTATATATACATACATACATACACACATATATATATATATATATATATATATATATATATATATACATATATACAGTGGGGAGAACAAGTATTTGATACACTGCCAATTTTGCAGGTTTTCCTACTTACAAAGCATGTAGAGGTCTGTCATTTTTATCATAGGTACACTTCAACTGTGAGAGACGGAATCTAAAACAGAAATCCAGAAAATCACATTGTGTGATTTTTAAGTAATTAATTTGCATTTTATTGCATGACATAAGTATTTGATCACCTACCAACCAGTAAGAATTCCGGCTCTCACAGACCTGTTAGTTTTTCTTTAAGAAGCCCTCCTGTTCTCCACTCATTACCTGTATTAACTGCACCTGTTTGAACTCGTTACCTGTATAAAAGACACCTGTCCACACACTCAATCAAACAGACTCCAACCTCTCCACAATGGCCAAGACCAGAGAGCTGTGTAAGGACATCAGGGATAAAATTGTAGGCCTGCACAAGGCTGGATGGGCTACAGGACAATAGGCAAGCAGCTTGGTGAGAAGGCAACAACTGTTGGCGCAACTATTAGAAAATGGAAGAAGTTCAAGATGACGGTCAATCACCCTCGGTCTGGGGCTCCATGCAAGATCATGAGGAAGGTGAGGGATCAGCCCAGAACTACACGGCAGGACCTGGTCAATGACCTGAAGAGAGCTGGGACCACAGTCTCAAAGAAAAACATTAGTAACACACTACGCCGTCATGGATTAAAATCCTGCAGCGCACGCAAGGTCCCCCTGCTCAAGCCAGCGCATGTCCAGGCCCGTCTGAAGTTTGCCAATGACCATCTGGATGATCCAGAGGAGGAATGGGAGAAGGTAATGTGGTCTGATGAGACAAAAATAGAGCTTTTTGGTCAAACTCCACTCGCCGTGTTTGGAGGAAGAAGAAGGATGAGTACAACCCCAAGAACACCATCCCAACCGTGAAGCATGGAAGTGGAAACATAATTCTTTGGGGATGCTTTTCTGAAAAGGGGACAGGACGACTGCACCATATTGAGGGGAGGATGGATGGGGCCATGTATCGCGAGATCTTGGCCAACAACCTCCTTCCCTCAGTAAGAGCATTGAAGATGGGTCGTGGCAGGGTCTTCCAGCATGACAACGACCCGAAACACACAGCCAGGGCAACTAAGGAGTGGCTCCATAAGAAGCATCTCAAGGTCCTGGAGTGGCCTAGCCAGTCTCCAGACCTGAACCCAATAGAAAATCTTTGGAGGGAGCTGAAAGTCCGTATTGCCCAGCGACAGCCCCGAAACCTGAAGGATCTGGAGAAGGTCTGTATAGAGGAGTGGGCCAAAATCCCTGCTGCAGTGTGTGCAAACCTGGTCAAGACCTACAGGAAACATATGATCTCTGTCATTGCAAACAAAGGTTCCTGTACCAAATATTAAGTTCTGCTTTTCTGATGAATCAAATACTTAAGTCATGCAATAAAATGCAAATTAATTACTTAAAAATCATACAATGTGATTTTCTGGATTTTTGTTTTAGATTCTGTCTCTCACAGTTGAAGTGTACCTATGATACAAATTACAGACCTCTACATGCTTTGTAAGTAGGAAAACCTGCAAAATCGGCAGTGTATCAAATACTTGTTCTCCCCACTGTATACATACATACAGTGGGGAGAACAAGTATTTGATACACTGCCTCTCTCTCTCTCTCTCTCTCTCTCTCTCTCTCTCTCTCTCTCTCTCTCTCTCTCTCTCTCTCCTCTCTCCCTCTCTCTCTCTCTCTCTCTCTCTCTTCTCTCTCTCTCTCTCTCCCTCCTCTCTCTCTCTCTCTCTCTCTCTCTCTCTCTCTCTCTCTCTCGTTTGGTGCGTGCTGGGAA